GTGTCGTGCGCAGCTGTGGCTGCCTCTCGTTGGCACCAGCTTTTATGCCTCTCGCTGCAGTATAGACTTCTTTGGTCCTCGCATAGCATCGCCTCAACTCAGCACCAACAGGTGCGATCAGCTCGGACCTTTTCTCCAGTCATCATCTGCCGGCCATGCTGCAGCCGGAGGAAGTGGCCCAGGACGCCGCCATCTTCCGTCCCGATGGCTTCATTCACTTCCCGCGCACCGACGGCGACGATTCGTACGGTCCGCCCAACACCGCGCTGCCCGCCGCCAACGAGGCCGAAGTCAACTACTACCACGTCTTTAAGCGCGAGGAAAAGAGGCACGACACTTGGCGTGCGACGCTTGGCGAGCAGCTCGCGCAGCACTTCAAGCTTCCGCAACTCTCGCCGTCCAAGGCCAAGTGGAAGCTCTACGACTTTCCCGAAGGATATCAGTTCACCGAGCAGCGCAAAGGACCACGACACAACCCACGCACCGACCCGTACCTGTTCGGAAGCCAAGCACATCGCTTCCGCTCCACCAAAGAGGCGTGCGAACACCTGATCTGGCTGCTGCTCGATCCCACAATGGACAGAGCCAACTGCCACTGCAAGTACTGCGACAAGACACCGCGTCCTGCAACGACGCCGAGCGGCAAGCGCAAGGCGGATCTCATGAATCCTTCGACCGCCGCCGTGGCGGGTCGCCGCGGCAGGAAAGCAAAGGATGGCATCGACTTGCCCAACAAGACCTCGATCACGGTGCGTGCCGTCGAGATGCGTCGGCTCATGCCTGGCGTCGGCATTGCCTCGGTGCCCCAGCGCGACCAGGAGGTGATGCACGAGTATGAGCGCGGCGAGCAGGAGCGCTTCCGCCTCGGCGAGGTGGTGTGGTGCGAGCTAGACGAACCCATTGTCGACCCCGTTGATCCGGAGCGCAAGATCCTCTCGTGGCCGGCCGTGGTGCAGGATCCTTCGATCGACTTTACCCTTGCGCTGACCAACGGCGACGACGGTGACAAGAACGCCAGCCTGCGGGCGGTGTCGGCGCCGAGCCAGCCCGAGGAATCGCTTCCCGTGCTGGGCGGGTCGGTGGGGCAGAAGATCTCGTATCAAATCAACTTTTTGGGTACAATGGAAAAGGCCAAGGTACCGGCAAGCTCGCTGACGCCCTATCTGGCGGGCTTCATCCCGTCCCGGCTGACCGAATGCGACATGGGCACACCAGCAGACCACCCATGGGTGTACGAACCGGACACATGGCCCACGATCAACCTGGCGCGGCAGCCGCACCTGCCGACACCCGCATTCGTCACGGCATTGGTCCCGTTCGGATACGCAATCACAACGGCGGCCGTGCTGCGCAGCCTGTACAGTCTTTCCGATGCCTTCTCCGCGGCGCCAACGGCGGAGGGGATGCTGCGCGACATGGAGGCGAGCGATGCAGGCGGCGACAGCCAAGGGGTGCCGCAAGGGCCCCGCTTCTACCAGGGCCTGTACTTTGGAACGGAGCGCATCTGGGTTGGCGATGTGGTGCGACTCAAGCTGAGTGCCAACGACGTGCAGAAGCTGCAGCGGGAGCTCAACTCTGCGCTGGTGGCGGACAAGCTGCCGGGTGCGCCGGATCCCAAGGCGATCGTGCTGGATGAGGATGGGTCGTACGTGCTGCAGCTTTCGCAGATCTACGAGGATCCGCGTGCGCCCAAGGTGCAGCGGGTGGCGGGCGAGATGTACGAGATCCTGTCGACGACCAAGCTGAAGCAGCTGCAGGATGCGATGGCGGCGAGCAAGGAGGAGGTGCTTGCGAACGAGGCGCTGGACGAGGCGATGCGGCAGGAGGAGGCCAAGCTGCTGGAAGCGCGGATGCCCAGGCCGAGCATCCTGAGTGGCCGGCCTGGCTTCCCGCCCATGCCGCCGCTGCCACCCGGGTTTGTGATGGTGTCGCTGAGCGAGCGGCTGCAGTCGAGGATCCCGCGCGAGACGACGCTGAGCATCGGCCACGTGGCGGGACGGCTGTATCCGTCGCTGGGGATGCACTCGGACGGACCGCGCGTCAAGGAGCAGATGGAGCTGCGGCCGAGGGACCGCAAGGAGGCGGCGGACGAGGATACGCAGAATGAGCTGCGTGCGCGGCTCAGCCTGGCGGGTCTGCTGAGCGGATGCGTCAAGGCGATGCGCGGAAGCGTGCAGACGTACAACCGCACGCTCAGCCTCAAGGGTGCGCTGACCCTGGCGCGGGAAAACGTGCAAAAGTCGCTTTCCGGTGAGCCCGACGACTCGGACGACGAGGCGAATGCGTCCAGGACCTCGTCGCCCGCCAAGACGCCCGCCAAGAAGGCTCGCAAGAGTATCGAGGCTGCTGCTGCCGCGGTCGCGACAGTAGCGCCGGCGGGCGTGGGGGCTGTCAACGACGCAGGCACGGAGGCGACGACGCAAGCAGCGTCCTCACAGGCTACGCTGGCGGCGCAGCCGGTGGAAAGCATGGGCGCAGCATCGCAGGCCGAGTCGGACGAGCCGCCTCTGCCGCCAGATTGGGAGGCGAGGCAGTCGCGCAACCTCGGCAGCACCTACTACGTGCACAAGCCCACGCGAAAGACGCAGTGGGATAGGCCGACAGCGTAGCACCCATCTGCCGCTCGCTCACGTTGACCGCAAATAGATTTTCAAGCATCGCATCAGCCAGCTGTCGAGGCAACAGACGTGAAGAACAACTGAGGAGGCGAGGTTGTGAGGACGGGGCGTGGATGAAGCTGGATCGGGCGAGCGCTCATCGGGGCGTGTGGGGGGCTGGGGAAAGAAAGATGGCGGGCTGTTTTTGCATTTTTTTCGGCTGGCTTCGTCGCGCTCAGCAGCTGAGGGGTGTAAGGTCGACAGAGGTCCGTCGAGGCACCGAATCAAAGCGACGCTTCGGCCATCTCTCTCTCTCTCTCTCTCTCTCTCT